CTTTAACTGGCTTGAGCATTAGAGTCTTTTCTCTCTCTGTGCAAGTTTTGTGCATTCATCGGCCATCCGAGTCCGAGATTCGCCGAGTTGGAAACTTTTGTGATCAAATATTTGTCGTCATTTGTAGGGATTCAACACACAAACTTAATTCATTCCCTACCGAGATATGACTTGAGCACACTCCCAATGATTAACCAATCCTAGTCATCGAGGTGAACTTCCTACTCTTCCTATAAACTCGCAGGCAACTAGAACTTCAATAGTTGTGGCTAACCACCATAAACCTACGATGAAAGGGACCCAAGCGTCCCTAGACCTCGGTTATCCGAGCTGACCTCCCACCATTTGGAGGACACACAGTAGAGAATCTAGGGAAGTCGAGATGGTCGAACTGGTCGGACCACTTATCTCTCTATTGATCTGAGCATTATGGCACCCATGATGGCCAAAATGATAGAGATAAGGGAAAGAATGGAAGATATGGAGCAAAACCATCATACTTTGGAAGAGCTGAGGTATCCGAGCCATCGATACCACACAATCCAGAGAAAGGCAAGGGACCCGCTAACTCCTCTCAGAAGGTTGAGGAGGTAAACCTTGGCTGAGCTACTAGAGGGTTCACATCGACGCTGGGCAAAATCCACGTTAGAACATTCATCCGCCACATGACTAACCACAAGTCGATGATCCCTTCAACCCTAACCTTCCACTTGGAGGTGATGGTACACGTCGTCCTTGTGTTTGGCTCAGTCGAAATCCAACTCGAGGTTCGCATTTCAATGATGATCTCCCAAGCGTTCTCAATGGTAATGTCGTTCGACAATCACCATCACAAGTACGTGGTCAAACTCCTCTCCTAGGTGACCTCAAAAACACATTGAACGATGATCAAGCAAGGGCTAGGAGCCATGAGGTTGATGAGCAAAGAAACTTTCCGACTCATGTAGGCAATGACTTGCCTCGAACAGAACGACTTGAAGTTGTCGAAAATTAGGACATGCGTTCTGAGTTCGAAAGAATGAAGTCCGAGTTCCGAGGTGAGATGGACGACCTAAAAAGGAAGTACGAGGATGTAATGCGATAAGCCCGTGATATTAGCCCAGTAAACTATTTAGATATAAATAAAATAAGCTTAATAATATTTAGATGTGTATTTTGCCAAAGCTTAATAATATTTAGATGTGTATTTTCTCAAAGAAATTAATATTCATTGTTTAATAGTTCTTGACCTATTGGAAGAGTTCTTAAACTTGGTATGTAACGGACATACAAGAAGATTAAGTTTAAGAGTAGTAGCTTAAATAGTTAAAGTATATAGATAGGGTTGGAGACATTATCTTATAGATACTATTCATATGATCCACTATGTAAATAGATGGTTCGTGTGGTGACATATGAGTAGAGGTATCATATGTAATGGGATTGTATAAGATTGGATTGCGATCTGTCTAGCACTTTTTAATAAGATCGTTAAAGAAAATGCAGACACGAATTAGGATGATCATAAAATCGTTTGATCTTAATCCTGGGTGTGTTACGAACTCGTATGAGTGTTCGCCCAATAAGCCTTTTGTCTTGGGAATCCATTCAAGTGGGGAGCTAAAAAAATTCCTACACAAGATGAAATTTACACCCTTTCAATTGTGAAGAATTAAAAGTGTGCACTTATCTTTATTGAGTGTGTATATAAACGATTCCTTTAAAGTGCTAGTTCGGGACTTGGGTAACAGAGTACTCACTTCCTTGATACCCCAAAAAGGATTAACCCATGATGAGGTCATGAAAGACTATCTATTAGAGTATAGTGTAAGAGATGGGACCAGGAAAAAAAAACGGTAATTTTGTTCAGTTGGGAACATGAATCACTTTATGAAGAATGAAATGAGCGGTTATGATTATATATGTGGACATAACTCAAGTACAGTGCATGAAACTGTAACCCTTGATCTATAGTAGAGTCACCACCTTAGGTTAATAGTAAAATTGGTTAATTAACAAGATTAATTAGTGAATTTTTTATCATTGGAGCTCAAAGTTGTAGCTTGATTTGGTCACCCTTCTAACTCGTTGACCTCTCGATAACAATAAGTTGAGAGAAAATTAAATAATGTTGATTAGTTAATTTATAATTAAAATGCTTAATTTGACATTTAATAATAAATTGGATTCATTATTATTTAATGTTGGTTTTTTATTTGTTTAAATAACTTGGACCTTAAATCCATCTACATGATTCTTGTTTTAATTAATTGTTAATTTAAAATTAATAAAATTGAATAATAGATTGATCATAAGAGAAACTCTAACTTAATTAGGCAAGTCTAGACGATGATAATGTATTTAAGTTAATGGTAAGGGAACACCTCAACCTGAAGAACTACATCAGAGTTGGATTGATCAGTGTCTTATTCAAACTCATTAAAAAGATTCATAATGTGATTAGTTTTAATAGGTAATTAACCAATTAAACACACCTTAAAAGATTAGGTTAAATGACTTAGAAAACTTTTGTTTAGCGAAATTGTTTTCCAAGTTTTGAAAATTCCAAAACCTCTTAAAAATATTGATTGGGAGAAGGATATATATATATGACAACGTATCCTATGGTCTCCATTGTTTGGCTCAATATTGTGAGATATATATATCCAAGGTCTCGTGACGGTTTGTTATCATCCCCTAAATATGATTTGTGTATGGTTTTAATATAAAGGTGGGCCTCCAAGAGAGTCGATTATTTATCTCTACATCTCTTGAGCCAAACTCGATTGTCGTAATTACTTTAGCAAAACACCAGACCGATGTCTCGAAATCCCTTTTCAGCCATCCAACTCAACATGAATCTCACCATGCATCTACATAAAAACAACTAAATATAGGTCAGAAAAATATAATATTTTGTATAGCACTCCTTCTACAAAAAGCAAGACATCCATATCCCTCTTGAAATAGATAAAAAGCTACGATATATTTAATACAGAAAACAAAATATAATACATGATATGACAGCTGCAATAATACTTTATATATAGCATTGTCATATATTTATCTCTGCCAATATTTTTGTTACCTTTTGGTAAAAAATAAAATATAATGGTAAAGAATTGTGGGGAGGGAACAAATGAACGTATAAGGGTAAGATTAGGCAGACAAAAAGCTGCCACAGCATAATATCCTTGTCTTTTTCAATATACAAAAGAGAATTGCATGTGCATGTATGTATTTTCACCACTTTACAACCCAAAATTTTACCCTTCAACCAAAGCAGCAGCAAAAAAAAAAAACAAAAAAATGGCAATGCAAAATCTTCTCCAAAACCGAGAAAAAGCAGAAAAAAGAGGAAGCATAAATGGGTAGATTTTCAAACAAACAGCCTGCTCTGTTCCTTAAAGCAACAAAGTTAAAGAAATGAGAGACAGAGACACAGAGGAACATACAAATTAAAGAGAAAGTTAAATATGTGTTATAATCCCTATGTTTCGGTGTTTTTTTTTTTCCTCGATTAAGCCTATACTTGATTTGACAGTTTCAATTTAGTCTCCTGCGTTTATTTTTTAAAGTTTTCAACTATATTTTTTTGGAGTAGTTGATGTAACTATTAGTAGATTTGTTGAGAATATTTTTAATAGTTATATTCTCGTAACCTAAGTAATTCTTTAATTTGACATGGTTGGTTGATAATGAATAACTACCCAAATTTTTTCCTAAAACTGTCTTTCTTTGGGTAGTTTTGGTACATATAAATTTAATTTTAAAAAATCATAATGATAATTTAAAAGAAAAGGTCGAGAGAGAAAAGGTAGTGTATTGAGTCCTTTTTTTTTTCTTTTAATAAAAAATCGAACACATATTAATCTCATGTTTTCAAAACTGTTAAAACCATTTTGAAATCAAATAAAAGTCAGTTTTATCCTTTTTTTTTTTAATACTTATGTGCTTGCCCACCCAATTTTTACTATCATTAAGTTTTATAAAAGCAGGAGAAACATAAAAAAAAATATTTTTTTTATGTGAAAGTAAACCTAGCTCAGTTGACATATATTTCAAACCAAGAGATCGTGAGTTTAATCTTCCACTTATTCAAAAAAAAAATATATATATATATATATGTTTTCTATTTTTCAAAGTTGTTAAATTTTTTTTATTGATAGTCAATAAAAAATTAGTGTTGACCAAATAGACTTGTTATTAGTTATTTTCGAAAATAAGCTATTTTAGATTATTTTTTTTTTGAAAACAAGGACACCACACGCATTTTTATATCCTCTTTGGAAACATACAAATGAAAACAGATCACAAATCAAACGTGACCATAGCTTCTTCTCTATATTTTTGCGACTCATCAACTATTACACCAATGCACCATCAATTGCATTTAACATAAAAGGGTATAAATGGAAAACTACTCAAACCTATAAGAGACTAAATTAAAATGACTAAATTACTGGAAAAAAAAAAAGATAAATGCTATTTTGGTCATTGTATTTGGTTAATTTGGTACTCACACGTACTTTCAGAATGTGTTCATCTGGTTCATTTTATTTCCTATATTTTTAAAATGTCGTTTAGTGATCATTTTCGTCCCTTAATTTCATTTTTAATCTCATGTAATTTGCTATTACAATTTCAACACGACACTGCACTTAATATATTCCCGATTTTGTATTAAATGGCTTTCGTTATGTGTCGAATTTGTGTAAAAATTTTGCAAACATGAACCAAAATGATCATTTTTTAAGAGTATGAATACCAAAATAAATATTTTAAAAGTAGAGAGACTAAAATGAAACAAAATTGAAAGTAACAAGGATCAAAATGAACCTTTTAAAAATACAGTAACCAAATTGAACCTGAACCTGAAAGTATGAAGGCCAAATTAAGTATTTTAATCCGGAAAAGAGAAGTAAAATATATGTATATTTAGTCGAAAGGAGAGAGAAAAAGAGAGAAGGCAAAGTAGTAAACAAAATCCCAAAAAGAGGAAGCCGGTGGGAATCTTTGTTGGCCTCTTTATGTGTGTGTGGGACTGCTCCTTTTCATGCTATTTTTTTTCTTCCTGTTTTTTCCCTTTTTGCCCTCTCCAAACCAAAAGATTTCCTCTGCCTTCTTCTGCCATATTTTCTCCTTCCTCATCAGCTCCATAAATCATAACTTGATCTGAAAAATGTGTCTGTGAGAATGCAAAGCAGCAGGATCATCTCAGAAACAGAAGAAGAAGAAATTAGTGGTATTATGGAAGTGCAACATCAGCATGAAATAGTGGTGGATTTGGAGTTCTGGCCATTGCAGCACCCCATGCAGCCTGATGATGAAGATCGCCCTGTCATTTGCCCAATGCCCCACTCTTCTCTTGTTCATGTAACCCTCTCTTTTGCTACAATTTTCGTCTCTTCATTTGTTTGCAATAATTCAGGAAAGAGAGAGAGAGAGCTCTTAAAGATGACAAGAAATATGTGCATGGATTGTTAATGTTGTTAGATTATGAGTCTCGGCTCGGGACTTTTAGAGTTGTGTCTATCTTTAAATCTGATCTCTGACCTCTCGGTTTTAAGAAATTTCTCAATGGGTTTTCGGAAAGATTTCAAGATTTTGTCTACGTGTTTTGAAAAGGTTCTAATGAAAATAGAATGTTAGAATTTTTATTTTATTTTTAATAGATCGTTTGTGTTATTTAATTTAAATTGATAAATTGTGTGTGTCACTATTGTATTATTGGAAGTTTACATAATGGGTTTCTGAAAAATTTCAATGTTTTGTTTCTATTTAGTTGGTATGTTTTTAAAAGATTATTCTAATAACTTCTTTAACTTTCAATTTTGTATCGAATAAGTCTTAGTTGTTGGCTCTGTTATATTAGTTTTCAATTGTGTGCGTCACTACTGTATTATTTAAAGATTACATGATGAGTTGATTTCGAGTAAATTTTTAAGCACCATGTGACATGAATTGTGTTAAACTTTTGGAATTAGCAACCGTGAAGTATGAGAACAAAATTAAAACCAATCCATGAGTTGCTAAAATTTTTAAAAGTATATAACAAATGGCACTTGAATCTGTTCATAACAGAAACATCAGTCTTTTTTTTTTGTTGTTTTTTGACATGATTGTGATGTTTGAAATGGACAACAGGAAGGAACAATGCACAACGGCAAAAGGACAGCAGAAAGCTGGAGGAAAAGAACAGAAGTGTCAAGAGAAGTAAAGGTGGCGGAGACGACGGTGAGGGTGGCGCGGAAGCGACACCACCACACGCTCAGCCGCCCGGACCACCAGACGGCCGGAATGTCGCGGCTCCCTCCGCTGCCAACCGCTCAGAACTTCACCATCTTCCAAATGCTTCAGCAGCTGGACAAATTTGAGTCTTGACACAAATCAAAGGTTATAATTATATATTTGATCAATGAGAGATAATGCAAATATATATATATATATATATATATTTGTTCAATGTGTTTAGTTTTTTTTTTGTTGATATGAAAGTGTGTGAAGTAGAAGAGAAAAGAAAGCATTTTGGTAAAGTTAAAGTTGTGGTCTTGTGGACTCCAAATTGGCTTTGGGTATGAAAAAGGAAAAAAAGTAAATTTACTAAGTAATGGAAGGGATGGGATTGATGTGACTTGGGGAGACATGGAGTCAAATAAATTATGCAAAGCCACACACATATCTTAAAATTCGAGTGTCGAATATACAGATCTCGTGTTATTCAAAACTTTTGACAACCAATTAGAATTTTGTCTTCCTAAGGTACTTTTTGGAACGAAATATAAATTTCGTCATCAAAAGTTTTGAGAAAATAGTAGAATTTCACTGTAAAATTAAAGGAAAACTTTTACGACGAAGCTTATATATCGTCGCTATAAGTATTGAATAAAAAAAAAATCAAATTATTGAAACTATTAGCAATGAAACTTATATTTTGTCGCCAAAAGAGCCTATGGTGATGAAATTCTGGTTCATCACCAAAAATTTTGACTAAAAATTTTTAAATTAGACGAAACTTTTGACGACGAATTGAAATTTCATCTCAATAGGGTACTTTTATCGACAAAACATAAATTTCATCGTCAAAAGTATCTTATTGCAACGAAATTTAATTCGTCACAAAAAGTTTTGTAGGCAGAAAAAAAATGTAGTGAATCTAGCTGAACTGATGGTTTAACTAATTAGCTGCACTAGACTGAAGTTGGCATAATTGTTAAATATAGTTCATAATGGGTGGAGAAGCATATTTTTATTTCTTTAATTCATATATCTAAGTGTATAAAATTGAAAAAAAAATTTGTATGGATCATATTAATGAGTAGTTTTCCAAGAACTTCAAGGTAAAAGGTGCTTGTTCAAATTAATGTGACGTTTTCTAATATTATAGAAAAACCTACTTCGCTTGTCTCTCTATTATTTTTTCTTTATACACCATTTTTTAATGTTGTTGGTTTCACGTCATTTTTAAATGATTCTGGTGTGAATAACAATGAATGAAAGTAATATCCATATTTTCATTTCCATAGTGCTAGAAATTATATTCTCGAACGATGACTTCTAACCTATGACTTCTAACGACTTATTTGAATCGCAGATATTATTTTATGGTTATAAATAATAATGAACAGTAATTAGGTTTAAATATTTAGAATAATAAATATCTTTATTTGGATATGCGGTATACAACAAATTTTGTTTAGAAATTGAAATTAATTAATTATGTATGAAATATTAAAATAGTGTTATTAAATTATTATATTAATTTAATTTATATGATTTAATATTGTGTATTATTATTATTATTTTGACAATATTGTGTATTAATTGATTAATTAATCAGCAGTAGTATTAATATATTTGAAATCGGTATTCAAATATTAATTGAAGATAATACTAAATACCAAATTATTATTTTAATTAATTAAAATAAAAAATTAGATCATTAATTACTAAATCAAAATTAAATTGTTAAAACGACCCTAACTCAACAGTAATTTATCTCCAACTCCCACGTGTTGTACTCAAATAATAATAATAAATTAAATTAAATTTCAAATAACTGCAATTAATGTATATATGTAGCAAGTTAAATTAAGTATTTAATAAATATCTCTCTCCTCTCTACTGTTCATATCCTAAGAGGAGAAAAAAAATTATCTTTTTTAAGTGAGAATCATAATTCTCATGGTTGGTGGAATTATTGGTCCTCACAGATAATAAAAGTAGGTATCACCAACCTGGTAACGGTACCTATCTCCGATCAAAATACTTATTAGATACTGTTTAAAATTTAACGATCTATTAGATACAAAATTAAACATTTAGAGATTCATTAGACATATTTTAGATCAAAATTAAACATTTAGAAATTTATTAGACATATTTAAAATTGAGCGACTTATTAAACACAATTCTAAAAGCGGAAGAACTAAACTTGTAATTTAAGTTAGATTTAATATTCAAGTTCATCCAAAAAAAAAAAAGGACTTGTGGATTATATGTATTATAAGATTTATTTTTTTATACTTTCACTGAGTTAATATTTCTTTTTTCATTCTAAATAATCCGTCTACTTTAGTAGAGAACTCTTTAATTTTTCTACAAAACTTTAATCTTTTTGATAAATAAATCAGTTTATTTTATTCACATTTCAAAAGTCATTTGGAGAAAAGAAGAAATTCTTAGAATATGTTCTCATTTCTTTTCTTTTTGGGGCTCTTCATAATAAATATTAGCTAAGTTACATAGAAAGCAAAAAATAATAATAATAATAATAATAATAATCATCTAAATCACAATAAAGAAGAATGTTCCTAAGAAGGCTACTTTTGAGACAAGGAAAAATTAAAAACAGAACAATCACTACGCTAAACTTGAAACTTTAGACAAATCAAAGAAACACAAAATGTTTAAGTTTCCAATATTTATAGGATCATTGGGTGCATCTCAAACTGCCATCCCTGCTAATCTTACACTAGTTGTTGATGATCCACTACACAAATACAAAAATGGATCAAATATCAACATATTTAGTTTACTCTGTGTATACCTGGGAACCAGTACAGAATACAAAGAGCCATAAATGCACTCTGTTTCACTCGACGAGCGAAATACCGAGCGCGACAGCCATCCCGAGTACAAGTGAAGTTAATTGAAACACCGTGGTTCCTACCGTTGATTTACTATTACTATTCATTTCAGCCAGTACCCCAGCCACAGCAATGTATATGAAGCCACCGGCGGTGAAGCCCTGAGGATGTTCAATTCGTCTCAATAAGATTTAAGATAAGTTTAGTATAACTTTTAGTTTAAGCACTTCTATTTTTTATACTCATTTGTCAAGTGCTTAAATTTACCATCACTTTAGAGTCGCCATCCCTCAAGTAAAAAGTGTTTTTAAGACCAAACACATTAGATTTTTTAAAAAACACTTTTAGTCATCGAAAATCACTTAGAAAGCTATACTGAACACCCTACAAATTAATAACTATCCCAAGAGTGCTTATAGAAGAATTATTTTTGTTCAAAAAAGCACTTTTCTTCGGAAGTCATCCCAAAAACCCCTAGTCCTAAATGAACATAATTCAGCTTCAGCAGTTATTTCTCACCTCAATCAATGATGAATGTCCTGGATCCTTCCCCATGAGCAATGCCTACAGGAGCCATCGTAGATTGATTATTGAAACTGTTCATTAATCTTTTCATGGAATGACCATTCTATGCTTACTGGAACAGTACTTACCATTGCAGTTCCTGCAAGAGCCACAAGTGCAGAGAGAAAGTTGAAGAAAAGGGCTTTGCCAACACTGAAACCGGATCTTACCAAAATACCAAAGTCTCCAATCTGCGCCAAATTGAAATGAAAGCAGACGCTCAAAAACTAATCAAAACAAACTAATACATTTAATGAGAAATTAATGTAAAGGAGATGACATGTTGCTGCATAAGATAATACTAACAAAAAGAAACTCAAGTTCATAAATCACGGGCGCTTGGATTTTCACTAAGACCAAAAATGGTGGCTGTGATTTACGTGCTGATATTTGTGAAAGCCAAGCTCATATCCTTTCCACTGCTCCTATGCATTGGTTTGCTGGGGCTTTTTATTTCAACAGTTCTACCTGCATTGGGTCTTTGCATTAGATGTTCCAAACAATCTCTCCCATCTACTTTTTGGCCAGGCTTTCTTCCAAGGCTGGTTTTTTTTGGATTGATGCTATTAAAGCTTTATTATCAGAGTTATGGTTTGAAAGAAATCAAAAGATTTTTTTAAGACAAAAGCAAATATCCGCCTGAAAGCTACAGCTTACCTAAATTCAAGTCTCTAATGGTGTTCATTTTCAGATTTATTTGTAAATGTTTCTCCTAGTTTTATTTATTCCAAATTGGGATGCATTTATAGATCCCCATAAACTCTTGATATTTGTATTTGTATTTGTGTTCTCTTTTTATTGCCCTCCCACTCCTTTTGGAGTTTGTATCTTTGAACAATTTTGTTCCTTTTCATACATCTGTTTCTTGTTAATAATAATAAAAAAAAAATAGTGGCTACCAAATTCCATGCATAACAGCAATTCTAACATTCAAAAGGTAGGAGGGAGGTGGTACAACCAACTACTAATGGTTTAATGGCTAATTGGCAAAGTCTAGTTGATTTTTAGTTCTTATTTGAACCACCATTCAAAAAATATAAATAAAATGAAAGAAGTAGACAATTCAACCATACAACAATAATCAGATTCACGATCACATGAATACCTTCCAATTTTACAAGTTTCTCTAGCTGGGCTTTACCACATGACTCAATAGGAAGATTGGTATAAAATACATTGAGCTACTGTAAAGGAAGAACATTTGCCAATTTTATGTATGGATTATGTGACTAGACGAATCACAAGCATGATAAGAGGTAGCAAAGGGTGGGGAAAAAAACTTTGAGTCTAAAACCAATTCTTTTAAAGTTAGAATTTGCGTAAGACAGGTTCTTTCATTACAAGAAAATTGGGATAATAAAGAAGATGCGAGGTATCTTCCTAGATGCGAGGTATCTTCCTCGATTTACTTTGATATTCAAAAGAGAAATCGCCTTGGCTTACAAGACTAGCCAATTCGAGAGGGCTGGGTCTCTCCCAATAGCACAATGCTATCCTTACACCAAAATGACAAAAACTGCCTCTACCCTAATCCCGAGGCTCCCTTACATACATTTCTTCGCTCCCACTAACCGTACGCCTAACTAACTTTACGTAAACTTCCCAAAACACCTTCCTCCTCGGTCCCGCCCTTCAATTACCCATTCTACCCCTCCTTACATATGTATGAATAATCGGTGGCCTAACAGGAGACTATAATTTCCACTCATCAAAGTGAAATGTAAGTTTAACTAAAAAGTATCAGGGAGCATGGCTTGACCAGCGGATGTTAACTTCTTCAGCTACCAAGCTGATTAAATCAAGTTTTAATAGTCCAATAAAGATAGTCAAGGAAGAAGATGAACCTCTTGCGGGAGCTCATGTGCAAGCAAAAAGAGAGTTCTAGACCACCCACCAACAGATCCATATAGTAAGAAAGCACTTCCTAAGGCCATTCCATCAGTGAAATTGTGCTGCAATGCCAACAAATATTAATCCTCAAATATATATCAACAGTCTCCTAGCACAGGAGTGTATTGAAGTTGAAACATTGTTACATGGAAATAATAAAAAACTAGAAAAGAAAACGAAGACAAAATTAAAGAATTTAGGGAACGAGAAAAACATACAACGCCATCTGAGAAGAGATTGAGATAACCAAACACTAAATTTGATGGTGTGTGAGCTGGACATTCTTGTGAGGTTTTGACGTCAGCAGTGGAACCATTAGCAGCATCTAGATCTTGCTTCTCCTCTCCGGAAGCAGATTTGCCATTTCTCTGCACAAATCTAGCAAGTCAGAGAAGATATATTAAACGCTCTGATACATTCATCTAATGATGTAGTCCATACAACTAAAAGTTCAACAAAATTTCCATAGGGTAACATTTGACAATTTTATAATAAGAATAGTAACATTAAATCATTTTTATGAATGTAGAAATCTTCGGACTATTAGTTTTGTTGACATAGGAAATGACTTTATTCAAGACATCAACAAATATTGATATAAAAATCTTGCAGGGAACATCCCACGGTTGGAACCATATAAGTCTGAGAAAACGGCTTTCATTAAAAATACTGAAAATACAACAAAAGGAGGCCCAATTGCTACAGATGGTTAGAATATTGATGGTGCAAAAGAGTGTCTTCATTATCTCACTGAAGTGTGTCACAGATCTCTTCTGGGATTCTTTGGTCTAAATTTGTTAAGTATGAAGGAGTTGAAACCTCAAAAAAGTAAAAGAAAAAACGGTTCTCCTTACATTTTGACTAGAAAAAAAAAAGGAACGTTTCTCTTTGTCTTACAGAAAACAACAGCTCCAGCGTCAATGAAACAGACTGTCTGGTTAGCAGATGCCTTGGAAGACTTGCATCTTATTCTTATCTGGTGTTTTTCTAAGCTTTGGGCGCACTAAAATATAATAGCCCTCTGGAGCTAAAGCACAAGGTGCCAATGAAAAGTGAGGACTTTTTTCGTGAGGCGCATGATAGAAAAACGTATTCAAAATTTTTATATATCAAAGAAATATAGTAATATGAATAATAAAATAATAAAAAATTCAAGAATATAGAGTTTTTGTGAGGAACGGGACCAAAAAAGAAATTTCCTAATAGCATTTAAGAGATTCTTCGAAAAATTAGAAAATAAAAATAAAAGAGGGGCTTCAAAGTGCACTGAAGCTTTCGCACTTGCACTGACGCGCGTGGCTTAATGTGCTTTAGTGAGGGCGCCTCACCCCAACCCTCATATTTTGCGCCTAGGTGTGCTTTTCAAACTACTGATCTTATCCCCCTACAACTTGAAGTTCTTTAGGGAAACCCACTGTGAGAAATTTTTAAGTGGATTGAAAGATCTTTAACAAGATACATTGCTTTGTGGAAATTTCAGACGACCAAAACAATGGCAGAAAGTGAAACCTAGTGACTGCAGAAGGTGAAAAACTCAGGCTAGAGAGATTTTCTTTTCCAAGATACAAAGTTTCTGCAAAGTTCGAGAGCTCAGTGCCCCGTTGTAAGATGGTTTCATAAGGAAAGTGTTAACACAAGTAGAAAAAATAGACACCAAGATTTACATGGAAAGCTCTTCCCATGCAAGGAAAAAAACCACTCCAATAACTTTCACTGTGCAATTGGGGTAGAATTATGTGGAATAATACTATCAGGACTTTGATTTGGTCCTTGTGGTAGGAAAGAAACAATAGGATCTTTAACGAGATTTTAAGTTTTTAGATGACTTTTGGTGGAATGTACAGCATTTACCTCAAATTGGAGTGCCAATCATAGGGACTTTTCATTGCAGCAGCGTTTTTATTAATTTAGAATGGAGGAGCTTCTTCCAATAAATAGTTTAGATCCAACATTAAATTTACATAAGGCCAGTCTGTTTCTAAAGAGATCAATCACAACTAGGTAATTTTGTAATGCCATATTTGGTTATGCCAACTAAACAGCTTACCTTCCGAGGAACAGATCTCTGTTGAGTGACCTTATCTTCTTTCGAGCCATTTGGCACTGCATCCAATTCCAAACTAGCTCTGCTTCTTTTATCGCTGGTGTCATGAGAATCACTATCATCCTTCAATTTTTTATTCTTATTGTGGTGGTGATGACCATGGCTCCATTCATTTCCTCCCCCAGAATTTTCTTCTACATACCTCACTGCCTTCTCCACTAGAAGAAAAAGCACAATTCCAGCTGCAACACCAGTACAATGTAGTAGTTATTTCGAAAATGTTGTATGGCCCAGATTTCATTTTTGAAAAAAGATCAGCAAAATATAAAATTTCAAAAGTGAAGATGAAATCAAAAAACACAAAGTAATTTATTACTGTTGATGCACTTAAGTAACTATCTATTAAGATGAAGATTCCATTTTTTCTCATTTCTTAGAATGATGATTTTAATAATATTATAACACACCAGAAATATATAATCAAGAAATCAGAGAAGAGAAACGTAAAAGACTTCTGAATAGGACCACGCAACATTAATTCTCTACATGAAAGAACACATCCATAGCTCAAAGGATTAGATATGCCATTATGAACCTTTTCCATGATGCAATACTCAAAAATAATAATAAAGAACAAAAATATTGCTTGTTCCTTAAAACAAGTTGAACACAGATAGTACGTTAAAAGCCCCACATTTGCAATTGGCATGCATAATAAATGACAAAGCAAGTTCGCTTACAAAAAATATCAACATGATTTATGAAATAAGGTTTGTAAAAAGCAACAACAGGACGTATGAAACTAACCAAGGACAGATATTCCTACAGAAAGATCTTCCAAAGAATGTGCATGAGAATGCTCCTCTCCTGAATGACCGTGATGGTCAGCATGTGAATGAGAGTGCTTTTCACCACCTGCCAGGGAAAAGACGATCCATAAAAAGTTCTGCCCAAGCATATAAAATTTATTGCTGAATCATCGATGTTCCCCATCATAATAAATACCATGTGTTTCTATTTTCATAACAGACAACTTTGTATCACTCAAGAAGATATAATGAAGAGAGGATAAGACATTCTCTCACCAAAACTATTGGAGTTATAAGAAGGCTATCAAAAAAGGACAATTTACAGACTACATTTTGATAAAATTTACCACAAAAAAAAAAAAAAACAAGAAAAAGCACATAGTCTCCACTTTCCTTCTCTACTTCTACGTCTATCTTTAAAAATGCGCCTGATTCATTCTAATCAAGGTTCCCACAAAAGGAGGTCATAATATTTGTCCAAAGAACACTATACTTCTTCTTCAGGCCATGACACACAAATGTTTGCATCAAGAAATCATGAATATAATTAGGAGAACACCATTGAAAACTAAAGCTTTTATCAAAAATGAAAGCTCTCCTTTTGGTAGCAAAATGTTTGTGAAAGTATGCAGCATTTTCATCTCTTTCCTTCAACCATTTACTTACATTTCTTAAGAAGATGCCTTCCATTATCTTTGCAAACATATGAATTCTTTCCTTAGCATAATTCTTTACTGTTCTTCCCGTAAAGACAAAGACTTTTAAAATCAGCTGTTACCTCTTCAACCTCCTCTAATCTGTTTCTTTTCTTGTTTTAACTGGTGCAGCTCCATACCTTTATACATTTTTTATAATTTTCAGTTTTCTCATTAATCTGAAACCAACCCAACCTTCACTCTCTCCTTCATTCCATTTCTGATGAACTAATTTATGTAATTCAATAGTTTCATACCATATATTTGTAAATCAGACCCCCACGTTAATTATCTTGCTCCAAGAATAATTGAGAGATGATCTATAATTACTCTTGCTTTCCTTAAGCATTTGATTCTTTAGAAGTGCTCCCCAAATCTTTTGACATAAAAAATCTATCGATCAACATTTGTATTGGCTCCCCCTCATATTACACCATGTAAATCTCCCATTTGACAACCTTTGTACAAAAGATCATTTGCCAAGATGTTAGTCAAAATACTTGGGAGGGTTCTTCCTATCATTTTTTTGAAAATTAAAGGAGCCTTCATTGAGACAATTTATGGATGAGTCCTCAATGCAAATGAGGTGATTCTCAATAATGAGGTGATTGAAGATTATAAGACTCACAAGTCGAAGGGAAATATCTTTAAAGTCGACCTTGAGAAAACCCATGACCATATTGGTTGGCATTTGCTCGGATAAAATTTTTGGGAGGAAGAGTTTTGGATTTAAACAGAGATATTTGATTTGGAATTCCCTTCGTTCAGCTAAGTTCTCTATAGGCTTATGGTAAGCCTAGGGGTAGAACCTTTGCTTCTAGGGATTTTTAGGTAAGTAGAACCTGGTTCCCTTCCTCTTCATTCTGGTTGTTGACTAGTGGTTGTTGATGACCTCAGCAAGATGGTGTTAATAAGGGTAGATAAGGTTCTTGTCGAGGGCTTCAATATGGGTAAGGCATTCTCTTGAGTCTTGCGGCTCTACATTTGAGCGATGAATTGCTGTACTACTCTTGAGAACATCCCTAAAATGTTGCCATTTAACAATTTTACCCATAACCGAAACCCCCAAGCCCTTGAGCACTCGAGGAGTCAAGCTTAGATTTGACTCCTTCAACTGAGTGCCTCCTGATAGTATTGATGAACTCAAGAGCTAGACTTCAAAGCAATACACTATCTTTTTTACTGACTAGTAGAATACCCTTCTGAGTGTCCAACACAAACACATTATCAGGTCTGTGCATCTTAGATGGTGACACCCATGCTCATGTTGACTCACTTTCAATTACTCATCTCAAGACTGCACCCTATTTTCAAACCTCTAACCCATGGAAAGGAGCTAATTGTCATTACAATTACACCGATACCACCTGACATTCTCCTCGAGGTTTCCCCCCCAAGGAAGACACTCCTCAACTCAATCATCCCACACGTCTCATGAGGTGGCTCACTTAAGAGTTAAGCCCCATGTGGTCCACGAGAGGTAGATAGCCAACACCTTCCCCCCTCTGTTACACTCACGGGAATTTCCCCGCAAGCACACATACATGCAGAGTGGCAAGAAGTTACTTGCCTCCATGAAACTCAAGTACGAGTCGTATGAACCTGGCTCTTGGCATACTAGTCATGTTCCCATATCATGTGTCTCTAAGCCTCTAAGCTCACCTTTGCTCAACTAAAAGTCACAACCCAACATCGACTTTTGTGAATGTGGCACCGGGAATCCAAAGATGCCAACCCTGCAAACGTATGGTCCCTTCATGGAATATTTCTGGAGTTCATATTCAAAAAACATTAATCATGTAAAGTCACTTGTGCCCTGTATTTATGAATTGTGTGCATGCAAATCAGGCTTGCACATGCACACAGAGAAACAGTATATCTAACAGGAGGTGGCACAACATCCGAATATGATATCAGACATTACATTAAATAATGAACAGATTCTCAACACGTTTGCAAATAATAATTTGTACTGTGTGCAAACATTCGCTAGTCCATATTTTTGTAAGTCTTGACCCCTTCATTTAATAGCAGGAAGAGAAAAAAAAACAATATCATAAACAAAAGTCAAAAGGTAAGGGATTAGGGAAGCCATTTTAAATTTAAAGAAATTGAAATACCATCCGATCTGTATCATACCAAATGCATGAGGCAACTGGTGGAGAAAAGCATCCCCTAACATAGCCCCTGCCTGCAACAGAAAATTTTCAGTTTGTACGAGCATCAAAGTTTAACCTGGATAATATAGACACCTGATAATTTCCTGGAGACCTTAGTTAAAACATTTTTACTCCATATTTCAGTTTCCAGATTTATATAAAGCTAGTCTATTTACTGCAAAGCAGGTTTCCACAACTCAATTTTATGTGTTTTAGGCTGTTGTATGGTGTCAAAGATAATAGAAAATGGTGCAGATCTAGATGAAAACAAGTATCACCAAGCTAAAGGAACGACAATGTGATTCAAAAACATCATTGATATAATTGCTAACAGCACGGCAAAACTTTTCTATATTTTACAAACTTAGGACGAAATTAAAATTTGAAACTACAATTAATAGATAGAGAATAAAATGCTCTGAAAGTTAAACTGTACACTTCCTATACCTTATAAATATACTTCAAACATCAAGGTAGTAGCCTTTACTATATCAGCATTATAATAGCATGATATGTTTCAAAATTAATCTCTTTATAATTCAGAAGTTAAACAATAATAAATAAAGTCAGACTAAAATAATTAACAAAAGATGTGCTCGATGGAAATACAAAAGGCATAATATAATGTAACTAAATGGCAAGAGAAAGAAGGGATCTCCAGAACACCCAAATTTTTAACTTGCTTTAAGGAAACCAAAAAAATAGATGGCATATCCAACTATTATTACATCCATATACGACCAATGTGAATATGAAACCCCAAGAGAATAATCCATGTTTCCCCTTGCATAACAGAAATATTTACATCGTTTCAGCATAGTAAAACCAAGTACGTACAGCTATCATTGAAATCATACTTCATAGTTCAACTTATTAAGCACTAAAAGACTCCTATTAGGAATAAGAGGCTTAAAGAATCTGACCCCAAATAAAGCCAATGAGTCAACAATTGCTTTGGATGGTTTGCCTCGAACTGCAACAATTCAAAATTTTAGTCCTTGTGATGCCACGAGTATTTACACCAATAAAAGTCCACTTTAAATTCAAGAAAAGCTGTTGCATGAGCCAGGAAACAAGAAACTACATGTTCATTCAACGCGGAGTCACTTACCAAATATTACTGGCAGGAGTATTAGGCAAATAAGAGATGCCATGCTAATCAACAATGAGCAGCCCAATGCACGAATCCAAAGACCTAGATGGAAAAATTATAAAAATGAAAAAAAAATTAATTAAAAAGAAAACGATGCTCAACCACTACTGGAAAAAACAGAGAAATTTTAGTTAATAAAACTACAAGTCTACAACAGATAAGAATGGTAATTGATACATGAATCAGTTCAGCTGCAAGGTCACAGAAGAACCAGATAAGAAGGGAAAAAAAACATCAATGAACCTTGATGGTTTTCTTTTTTAATCAGAAATAAAACAGAAAGTAAATTCAGACAGATCATATACAAGCACTCAAATATTCATAAACTTCATGTATGTGAAGTTGGAAGGCTCCTTGGAGCTGGAGACAGCCCACTTAGTTACAACAACCATAACTTCCATTTCCTATATGGTCTTTAATCTCTCTCACTGATATGTTCATCGAATCCCAAATGCCTACGCATGTAAGTACCAACCTATTTCCAGTCCTATATATCATGCCCCAGGTCTCTGTTACTATAATGGGACTTCTAAATTCTAATATATGAGATTGAGAGACAATCTTTCATCTCAGCAAATGAAGAGTGCTATCATCACACAACACGGTAAACGAATCGAAACTCCACAGAATTGAGGAAGCAGAAAGAGAATGCAGATCCATGGAGAGGCAATTTAAACAACTAACCCAAACCAGAGAGCTCCGAAGATCCAAGCCTTTCGTGATCATGATCCACATATGGCCCAAACCCATAAAGCTTCATATCCTCCTCCTCCGCCAGCTCCTCCGGCAGAAGCTTCGACCCAACGGACACATCCTCCCCGTTCCGATGCTGCTGGTGATGATGATG